CTTATTGACTATCTCTTAACAACAAAAGAAGTGAATCTATGAAAGAAGGAAGTCAATGCATTGACCAAGGGAATCCGAGCTGCAGAGGTTTTTATACAAATAAAATATGCCTGAATGTGTATTTTGCATATTTGTAAGTGGTAAAATTTCACTGTAATCAAGGCCAGAGCTGTCTGCAGTGAAGAGAGAAGTACTGCAGAGAGGCAGTCTATCACCTCTGCTATTTCACATCGCCAAGAGTAATTCCAGTGCAATATTCACTCTGGCTTAAAAAGTGCCTGGGGGTATGTTGGAAGTTTTAGACATCTCAAACATTCAATTAACTAGGCAAAGCAGACTATGCAGCATGTCATGTTTAAATGTTTAATAAATAACAAGTCAGCGAGCAGAAGCATTGAAGTTAGGGAACTGCAGTTGTAGTCATAAATCAGGGATAGGTAGCAGCAATGCAAGTTGCACATTTTTAAATTTCCAATCAATTATCTCATGCTCCCTCCTGTCACCATTAACTTGTGCCCCAATCATCGTGTGCTTCAATTGCTTAAAATCAAGAGAAATACCAAAATGTTTAAAATTGTTTAAAAAGCAGAAAAATAATCTATCCAAGGATGTCGAATATGAGACATAGCTTTTAATGAATACTCTGCATCGTACCGTACGCCTTCTTAACAATGCTATCAACCTGGGTGGCAACTTTCAGTGATCTATGCACATGGACACCGAGATCTCTCTGCTCATCCACACTACCAAGAATCTTACCATTAGCCCAGTACTCTGTATTCCTGTTACTCCTTCCAAAGTGAATCACCTCACACTTTTCCGCATTAAACTCTACTTGCCACCTTTCAGCCCAGCTCTGCAGCTTATCAATGTCCCTCTGTAACCTGCAACATCCTTCCGCACTATCCACAACTCCACCGACTTTGGTGTCATCCGCAAATTTACTAACCCATCCTTCTATGCCCTCATCCAGGTCATTTATAAAAATGACAAACAGCAGTGGCCCCAAAACAGATCCTTGAGGTACACCACTAGTAACTGAACTCCAGGATGAACATTTCCCATCAACCACCACCCTCTGTCTTCTTACAGCTAGCCAATTTCTGATCCAAACCACAAAATCACCCTCAATCCCATGCCTCCGTATTTTCTGCAATAGCCTACCATGGGGAACCTTATCAAACGCTTTACTGAAATCCATATACACCACATCAACCGCCTTACCCTCATCCACCTGTTTGGTCACCTTCTCAAAGAACTAAGCTTTTCAAATTGATACCTAACAATTTCCTTTCCTGACAACACATTCACAGTGCATTAAGAAAATGTATGTCATTTACACTAAATGCAATTCATAAATTTATTTGTAAACATAAGAAGCTGAAGGTTGAGTGTATGATAAACTTTCTTAACCCATAATGATTGCTTTATGTATGATCTGGAGGGCTTGTATATTCATCATTATCGTACGTTATTGAAAATTTTGTTGGATGTAAGCACGTTTTGCTCAATAAAAAAGCAGACTGCATATTTGTCATGGAAATCAGTGCAGCCACTAATTTTCTGGTAATTAAAGTTAACAGCCATGGGGTTCTGAGCCAGGAACATTAATTCTAAAATTTACTCTATAATATCATAACAATCAAGATTGTTACTTATGAAGTGATTTAATGTAGCTTGATAAAATAATGCAATAATTCATCATTCACTAATGCGTGAGCTGTTGGATTCCATTGCAAGTTTGGAATGTTTGGGTTTCTCTTTTGACTGCATTCGTATTCTTTGCTTTGGTAAATCTATGAGTGTCATTATTCGTTCTTCCTCGAAAACATTATTTTTCCTAGCTAAATGGTGTAAACCATTTGGGTACATTCAGATATTTCTGTTTGTATGTTTGTCAGGTTTACAGACACTTTAGAAATATTTGTCAACTTAATTCGCAATTTATGTTGCCACCTGAAAAATTTGCTAGAATGTATCAATATAGATGTTGTAAATTGTTTCATCAGAGCTTGTACTACATAGGTGTTCATAACTATTTCCCTTTATTCATTACTTTGCTCAGTGGGTGATAAAAATTAGTTGTGTTAATCAGTTATTTTATAAAATGTCTGATAGTTAAAGCAGTAAGTAAAAGTAGAGTACATAGAAATTGTTGGTTGATTGATTGACTTATTGTCACATGTACTGAAATACAGTGAAAAGCTTTGTTTAAGAGCAGTACAGGCAGATCACAGCAAGCAAGGGATGTACAGATCAAAAAAACTTAGAGGCATACAGGTTACATTGCAGGTTACATTATTTGAGGCTAGAGTCCGTTCAATAGTCTGATAATGGCCAGAAAGAGCTGTTCCTGAACCTGCTCGTGTGTGTGTTCAGGCTTCTGTATCTTCTGCCTGACGGAAGAGATTGTAGGAGGTCATTACCAGGGGGCGATGGGTCTTTGATGTTGGCCACCTTTCTGCGGCAACGAGGCATGTGATGGAACGTTGGCTTCTGTGATGGTCTGGGCTGTGCACACCACCTTCTGTAGTTGCTTACGGTCCCGGGCAGAGTAGTTCCCATACCAGGCCATTATGCACTCAGACAGTATGCTTCAATTGTGAGGGACCTTATGGACGTGCCAAATTTCCTGAGCTGCCTGATGAAGAAGAGGCGTTGGTGTGCCTTCTTGACTGTCGCATTTACATGGGAAGTCCAAGATAGGTCATTGGTTATCGATACTCCAAGGAACTTGATACTCTTCACTCTCTCAACCTCAGTTCTGCTGATGTAGATATAGAATTGTTTCTGCTTTAGATTCATAATTTGTGGTGTAAGAGGTTGTTAGCTCACAGTGACAAACAAAGAAAGTTTAAAAAAAAATGCTCTGTCACTTAGAAGAATGGGCCTTTGTTATATTTTGCAGTAGTAAACACGTATGCAACAAATATTTTGACAATTAAATACTTAGAACCATTTTGAAACTTATCTGTTGTAGAACAATTGGATGCATGGTTCTCTGAGAAGTGGTTTAATCAGTCTTTGCTCTAAGTGGGTGTACAGCCTTACTAGATGATTGTGTTTCTTGATTGGGATTTTCATTGTAACCTCCAACTTGTCAATAGTAAGCACCTCCTCTCCCCAAAAAAGAGGACTGTTAGAAGACTGTCGAAAATCTGACAATTAAACATTTTCATTTGGTATAATGTTTTAAATATCCACTTTAAGAAATTATGCTGAAATGGTAACCTAGTGTTCCTGTCAATAGACTAGAAATCCGGAAACTAGGCTAATGTCAGGGTCGTGACTTCAAATTCCACTGTAGCAGATGGTAAAATTTGAATTTTTTTAAAAATCTGGAATTTAAAAAAAGCTGGCCTAATGGCAATTATTTAACCATTGTTAACCGCACTGGTAACATGTAGGAAAGGAAATTTGCCATCCTTACCTGATCACATAGGATCCAGGGAGAGCTAGCCAATTGGATACAAAATTGGCTTGATGGCAGAAAACAGAGGGTGGTGGTAGAGGGTTGTTGTTCAGATTAGAGACCTGCGACAGCAGTATGCTGCAAAGATCGATGCTGGGTCCACTGTTGTTTGTTATTTATATAAATGATTTGGATGAGAATTTAGGAGGCATGATTAGTAAGTTTGTGGATGACACCAAAATTGGTGGTATAGTGGACAGTGAAGAAGGTTTGAGGAAGAGTAAATTGGGGTCTTGATCAACTGGGCCAGTGGGCAGAGGAATGGCAGATAGAGTTTAATTCAGATAAATATGAGGTGTTATATTTTAGTAAGACAAACCAGGGCAGACGTTATGCAGTTAATGGAAGAGCCTTCAGGAGTGTTGTCGAACAGTGAGTCCTATGGGTACAAGTACATAGTTCTTTGAATGTGGCGTCACCGGTGGACAGTTTGGTGAAGAAGCTTTTTGGCAAGCTTGCTTTCATTGGTCAGAGCATTGAGTACAGGAGTTGGGATGTCATGCTACAGCTATAAAAGACAGTGACATGACACAATATGGGAAATTTAAGGCCATATTTGGAGTACTCTGTACAAATCTGGTTGTCCTGCTACAGGAAGTATGTTATTAAACTGGAAAGAGTGCAAAAATGATTTACAAGGATGTTACTGAGACTGGAGGATTTGATTTGTAAAGAGAGGCTGAATGGGTTGGGACTTTTTTCCATGGAGCATCGGAGACTGAGGGGTGACTTTTAGTGGCATGGATAAGGTGCATAGCCAAGGTCTTCATCCCAGGATAGGGGAATCCAAAACCGGACACAGCATAGGTTTAAGGTGAGAGGGGAAGGATTTGAAAGGAACCTGAGGGGCAATTTTTTCACACAGAGGGTGATGTGAATATGGAACAAGCTGCCAGAGGAAGTGGTAGAGGTGGGTACAATTTCATCATTTAAAAGGCATGTAGACAGGTACATGAAAAGGAAAGGTTTGGAGGGATATGGACCAAATTTAGGCACATAGAACTAATTCAGTTCAGGAAACCTGATCAAAGGGTCTGTTTCTGTGCTATATGATTCTGTGACTCCATACCCATAGCAATGTGATTGACTCTTAACTGCCCTGTGCAAGATTAGGCATAGGCAATAAGCACTTGCCTAGTTAGCAAAGCCTGCATCCCATGAACAAATAAAAAGATGTTTTCAGGCTAAGATTCATTGTTGAATTAACTTACCCAAAAAGTTATTACCTGGAAGCAGAAGGCACACGTCCACAAAGCAATACTGGTCTGTGTGCAGAGTCAAATACTGATCAGCTACTTCCAAAGAAAATCTGAATTGTGATCTATTTTTAATGATGCTTTAGCAAAATTTATTTTCTCTTGTTCCAGGGACATTATTTACCTTGAAGGTGCAAATAAACGATCTGGTCACTCGTCATTATCTGGATCAGGTCCTTGTTGATGTCTTTGTTAACTACACAAAAACAAACTCAGCCACCACTGAGAATGGTGGAGGAGTTGTTTTGAAAGTACCTTACAAACTGGGCCTTACTCTGACTGTCACAGCGCGTAAAGGAGGATACCTGCTAGCATCGTTGCCTTGGAAAACCCAAAAAGTGCCAGGTAAACTTTAATTCACCATTTATATTGCCACCTGAACAGTATACTAGAATAGAAATCTCTCTGAACATATCAAAGAAGATTATCTTTTTATCATCTTTGTCCAATTTTAATTGTTCTTCCCTTTTCCCAAGTTTTGCTTCACCCTTTTCAGCTAAATTAGCTTCATAATAAAAAGGATGTTTTCTTCAGAGGTATGAGGCATTTATACCAGTTCTATTATTGCAGGCCCATCCCTGGAATGTCTTAAATATAGTCTAAGGATGGCTAAGGAGAAGGAGTAGAATGAATGGCACATAGATTTTTGGCAGCCAACATTAGAACAAGTATTGAGTCCTGCAATACAATTGCTTTCTCACCAGTCCAAATGAGGAAGAGTTTAGATCAAAGCTGCCCTGACTCACCTTTTGAATCAATTGTCTGTGCTGCTCGTCATAAAATTGGTTATGATTGCAAGGGCCAAAAGAGACTTGCTCACCCTTGACCCTTCAGCCAATGGTGGGACCATGTGTTTTAGTAGCTTGTGTATTATTGTGAGATGCCACAGTATGTAGCAGCTTGTTGAGAATGCATTGACAGAACTTTATTTAACGCTTTTAGTCTTGCTTGTTGCACCCTCTTTGTAGAACCTCCTTAGAAAGTCTTCAGAAAATCTTGGGGCTTTCTTGGGATTTCAGTTCCATGTTTCTTTGTCTGATTCATATATGAGACAGTGAAGAAAGATTTTGTGCAGAGATTTCATTATGGTAATTTATTTGGTGACTCGGGTTATAGTTTTGGAAAGCATGTTCAAAATGTTTGACATTTCATTGTATTTTGAAAAGTCAGGATTTCCCAAATTACCTGAGAGAGGTCACCAGTACAATTTTGAGGTTGTGAGCCTGAGCAAGTGCTAGCTATGCATGGTCCTTTTAAATCTCAGAGATGCATTTTTACTTATGAACTCTGTGATATTAACAGTTTCCTGCACCCTTCCTTCCCCAAACATCTCCCTACCACAATCTCCTACCTACTCTCCAAGCTGTCACAGGTCTGAGGCCATGGCAATTTTCAAGCACCAACATGGCATCTCTGTGGGAAAATCTTTGGGAAGTGCTGGCTTAAGTGTTCCATAAGAAGGGTTGCTTGTTCTACTAAATTCTTACGTAAGAGATTTATTTTGTTGTGTTATTTCTACTTTTCAGTTTTTGCGGCTGTAACCCTTTCAATGCTCCCACAAAGTCGAGCAAATCTCTGGTTATTTGAAGACACAATTTTAATCACAAGTGGAAAAATTGGTAAGTGGAGTAAATCATTGTTTTTGCTGCTTTATTTTTCATGGATTATTTTTTAGCTATTTAATGTTGTTAAAAAATATATGATGATGGAGAATATTTGGAGCACTTTTGAACTTAAATTTATATCTGTCTTCAAATCTATTTATATATATATATATATATATATACACAAAACATGACTATTTAATCCCCCGAGATAATCATAGACATAAAGTTATTTTAATGCACTTTCCTCTGAAAACTTCTCCTTTGGATTTGCTATAAATGTGGGTATGCTTTCAATATCTCTTTGAGTTTGATGGTGTCGATCTCTCCTGTGAGTGATCTGAAGGTTTTCTTTTTATGGGAATTAACTCTCACTGCCCTATATGTACTTTTATGACCCAGTAACCCAACTTTAAAATATCACATCCCCTTGTGATTTGAGTCAGTTTTTTGAAACAATGCACATGCAAAAGAATCAATCCCTCATGTAGTAGCAAGAGCTAACAAATGAGGTGAGGATTTATTCAAATCATTAATGAACTCTATTAAAACAGCATCCACACTGAACAATGGTTCTGATCATATTTGCTTAGTTTAAATGGGTAAATCTTGATTTACAATGTGGTGTAAAAGTAGTGGGAAATGCTAAACAGGCCCATGTCAGTGGATCATCTTTGTAATTTAACAGAAATAACTCTCTTTTTTTAAAATCAGCATCCTTTCCATTCCACCTCCTATTTATTCAGCCTTTTTGCATCACTTTACTGCTTGATGGCCTCCTGCTCCAAGAATGCAGCCTATTAGGTTAACAACAATTTCTGCAGTTGAGTTCACATAAATGGAGTTCTTAGCAATGGGTGTGAATAGTTCTCAAAATATTGTTAATAGTTTCTGGTTAAAATGCTGACCATGAAACGTAATATCTGTTTACCAGACCTGGAATTCCTTTAACTGATCCTCTTGAAAGTTGAGCAAAGTGGCATAGTAAGATGGGAGATAACATAGAGCAAACTGGCATCGCCTTTTGACATTCTCTGAAACGCCACAAACCTTACTGTGAAAGACTTGTTTCAGGTAGTATCTATTAATAGGCAGTAGCTCCATAGGAAATCTGGGAATCAGAATTTGAGCCTGATTCTGATGGGAATTTCAGGAAAAGTCAGGAAAAGCACACGTTGGCTCAGAACACCATGCTACCTTGCATATCCACACGTGCGGAAAACTACGATATACAGGTCAAAAAGGTTTTCTACCTAACCGTATACTTTTGTACTGAGGACGTAAAGGAGGAAGGTTACTTTTAACTGAAATATCCCTATTTAAATCTGTATGTTCTTCAGCCTTTTTAATTAAATTAGTATCAATATCCCTTTACCTAAACTGTCAGAATAAAATGTTTATTTGAAGAATTCTATTTAATTACAATACATAAGACACCCATATCATAACCAGGTTTAAAATGCAGGATTTGTATTCAAAGCCATTTCTTTCTTGCAAAAATACCCATCTGAGTATTTAAAACAGTGATCTTGGTTGAAAGGGAGGTGCAGAAACGTATTAACCCTGAGAATATATTGTGAAGCGTGTATATGTTTCAGAAACATTTGCAGTGCTTGGTGTAAGCTGGAGGTGTAATTGGGACATGACCAGTGGGAATTTAAAATTAGTGAAAGCAGCAAGTAAGGTTTGTGTTTTAACAGATGGTGTTGTTACAGGGCTGGGATTTGCATTGAGAAATTAAGCAATCGAATGATATGGTTGGCAGACTGCTAAACTTGCAAATACCATAAGCCCTGTTCCACTGTCCTTGTCTGGTTTAAATTGAGTTTGAAATGGCAATTTCAGTCATTTAATGATATTACGATATGAAGGATAGGGAAAGTTCAGCTTGTCCGTCAAGCCAGACAAGTTCATGATGTCTTAAGTCCTCTCTCTAGTGAAATAGCCTCAACCAGATCTCTTTCGCCACTTCCCACTCTACTCCTACCCACAGCCATATAATCTTCTGAGAGGAAAAGATAAACATGGTTACGAGGTGGGAGTAGTGTTCTGGAAAACGCTTCTCTCTATCCCCACCCCTCAGATGATCAAAACTAGACTTGGAGATCATATTTATTTTCCAAAAATATACTTGTAAAATTTGTAAAAGTATAGTGCAAAACATTTAAGATTGAATATGACAGAGTGTGGCAAAGAATTCAGCCTTTCTTCATGCAATATGTTCAACTCTAAGTTATTTCACAATGTTATTTACAATGTGCACTCCATGTCAGGCATATAGCCCAAGGGTTGTACATTTTTTAGTCCCTGGGTGTATTATGCCTGAAAGGTGTTGGATCTTTTCCTGTTGTGCATCTGCTGTGGCTATCCCAAACTTTGTCTGTCCCTCGGGATATAGTCTTGAACCTTGGAAGGTACCAGTCTGCAATACCCAGTCAGGCATAACTCTTCACATTAGAAAACCAGCAGGTTTCAGGCAGGATTTTCCACTGTGTTGATGGTCCTTCAGCATCAGTTGATGTTTATTGTGGTATGTCTTTACGGGAAGCCCGTAATATAGACAGTCCTGTGTTCTTAAGCCGCTTAAAATGAAACTCAACAAATACTGCTGCAGAGATAGTAGGAACTGCAGATGCTGGAGATAACAAGGTGTAGAGCTGGATGAACACAGCAGGCCAAGCAGCATCAGAGGAGCAGGAAAGCTGACGTTTCGGCCTAGACCCTTCTTCAGAAAACTGCTGCATCTGTCTTCAGATCTCCTTTGCAAAGGCACATTCCAACAGGTTGTGATAGTGGTCTCTCCACCACCATAACTTCCTTGAGAGTAATGTGCAGGTGGGCTGAGGCTCTGATTGTGTAGGGTGGATATGATGGCAAGTAACATGTTATTTGAAAGTTCTGGCAAGGTGGCATTCTGTTGGGTGACTTTGACAGTCTACTCAGTGAAGCAACCGAAAGGGTTCATTGCCTCGTTTTCCTGCAGGACCTCGAGGATGTTGCATGTGGGCAATTGCCTAATGACCTTGTTTCCAAAGGTGTTTTTCAGCATAATTCTTTCTGCAAAGGACAGGTAATGCGCTATGGCCCAACTGCTTGGAGCATTCCGCAGCAATGTGGCCAGATCAGCCCTTTATAACACTAAGGACAAGTAGAACCTCAGCAGTTAATGGCCCCTGTTGTTTGGAAATCGATAGCTTCAAGCATCCGCACACAATGTCCGGCGGTTTGAGGGTGATGCTGGGTATGTTTTTATCCCCTCTTCATTTAGAGGTTTCTGCATTAACCAGGCAAATAACTTCAGTTAATTCACATACCTGCCATATGATGCCGCCTCTGTCCCGGCCACAAACCAGTCTAGCTGATTTTCATGGTTTTCAGAGTGAGAATAAAAAATCCAGCTATGCATTCCAGAGGCACACAACCCTGTAGAAAAATACGAGCCTTCTAATATCTAGCTTATACCTATTTGTATGTAGATTAACTGCATTGAGTCCTCTCGATTCTTCCAAATTCCAGGGGAAATGATGAAGCCAAGGAATGGTGAAGTCACTGGACTGTAATTCAAGGATCAGATTAATGCTCAGGGACATACGTTCAAATGCCATCATGGAAGCTGGTAGAATTTAAGTGGAATGAATAAATCTGAAATCTAATCTCAGTTATGGTGCCATGAAAATATTATTGTCAAAAAAACCCCATCTAGTTCTTAAATGCCTTTTGGGGAAGAAAATATACTGCCCTTACCTACTCCAGCCTGTATGTGACTCCAGACCCACAATAATGTAGTTGGCTCTTAACTGCCCTCTGAAATGGCCTATCAGACCACTCATTTCAAGAGCCAGTAGTGATGGGCAATAAATGATATTCTTGTCATCAACACCCATATCCCATGAAAGTATAATAAAAACAAATAGATCAGTTAGTTCCATGTCTAATGTGGGAAAGTGTTGAAATCAATCATCAATGAGGTTATAGCAGAGCGCTTGGAAAAATTCACGGTAATTAGGAAGAATCAGCATGGCTTTGTCAAAGGGTAATCCTGTTTAACTAATTCATGGGAATTTTTAAAGGCATAACATGTACTGTGGAGAAAGGGGAATCCATTGATATTTTGTGCTTAGATTTCCAGAACGATGTTAACAACGTTCCACTTCAAGGATTATTGCACAAAGCAGGAGTTCATGGTGTGGAGAATAACATACCAATACGGATAGAAGATTGGCTAGCTGGTGGGCAGAAAGCAGTATGCTAAATGGATCTTTTTCAGATTGACAATGCATACAAGAGGGGCCCAACAGGAGTCTCTTCCTCAATTTTATACAATTTATATCACTGACTTCACGAGGGGATCGAAGGCATGGTAGCTAAATTTGCAGTTGCACAAAGATTGAGAGCAAAATATATTGCGAAGATGATGTAACAAAGATGCTGACCGATTATAGACAGATTACATGTGAGGACAACAATCTGTTAGATGGAATATTATGTGTGAAAAAGCGGATTTATTCACTTTGGCAGGAAGAATAAATAAGCAGAGAAGCCTGCAGAATTCTGAGGTGCAGAGGGATCTAGATGTTCTGGTGTACGTGTTACAAACAGTTAGAATGCAGTTACAGTAAGTGAATACTCTCCTTTATTGTGAGGAAATTAAAATAAAGGTAAGGTTGTTTTATACAGGTCATTGTTGAGACCAATACTGTGTGCAGTTTTGGTCTGATTTAAATAAGGATGTAAATCTGTTGAAAAGAGTTCAGAGAAGGTTTACTAGATTGATACCAGGACTGACAGGTTGTTTTATGTGGAAAAAATGGACAGGCTAGGCTTGTTTTCACTGGAGTGTGGAAATGGGAGGGGTGATTTGGTTGAAATGTATAAGATCCTGAATGGTTTTGACAAAGTGGACATAGAAAGGATGCTTTCTTGTGGATGAATTTGGGAGGCACTGTTTTAAGATTGGGAATTACCTTTTTAGGTCAGAGTTGATGGGAACATCTTCTGATGGTTGTGTGACTCTGGGATCTTGTTGGGCAAGGGAATCGATGGTAGATGGAAATGTACAATTCTGAACAAACAGATCACTTGTGGTCTTATTGAATGGCAGAGTAGCTTTGAAGGGCCAAATGGCCTCTTTCTGCTCCCAATTCGTATATTTGCATCAAAAGGCAACCAATCTTTTCGTTATTTTGTAGTACTTTAAGATAGTTTTGAATTTTTTGAGAAGATTTGTAGCTTGGGTTGTGGATAAGGTTGTAGACTTTTTCGCCGAGCTGGTGTGTTTGATTGCAGACGTTTAGTCACCCTGCTAGGTAACATCATCATTGCACCTCCGGTGAAGCATTGCTGTTCTGTCCTGGCGAGCAAGTCAACAAGATAGTTTTGACTCTTTTGTTTTTGCAAATTGTAGATTGTCAAGTTGCAAGTTGATGTAGAACTTTACTCCTTTAGTCATCAATATTAAGATGTTGAAGTCATTAGGAAGAAGGCTGATGTTGAATCAGAAATTGTAGAGTGTAGGGATATTGTTGTATCCTGAGATTTCAACTGGTATTATGAATTTCAGGGTAATATCTCACAAGATGTGCATCTTCTTGACAGTTTGGCTGTGATATGTCATTTCTCCCAGGATAGTCAGTCATTGTTTAAAAGAAAACATTTTTCATGCTGTGCCACTCCTAGTGCTCCAGTGCCCTAAATCAGATATGCAGCTGTAATCCTGGCATGTCTCAAGCTATGAACTTTCAGTCTCATTATATAAGACTAAAGTCAAGATTCCAACAGGGTTATTGTGGAAAAGTCTGCAAACCTGTACAAGCAACATGTTCATATTGTGCAAGTCTATGCCTTTAAGTGGCTCAATATAATTTCATATTTACCATGGTATTTTACATGTATGTTAACATTGTATGCCAGTCTCCCAAGATTTAAAGCTATTAGTGAGCATATCTTACTACCAAATAGAACAATGTCACCTAATTCTACAGGATACTCCAGATCAGGCTGCTGATTGCCTTCCATTTGTAATGAACATTCTTGTGTTTTTGAGATGACCGAAGGTATCCTAGTGTCCAGTTTCCAAAGGGATTGCTGAGACTACCGAAGAACACCTATGTTTCTAACCTAACAGCCTATCTCACAGCTCCACAACCTCCCTGGGGAACAGACAACTTTATCCATACAATGGGAACCTTAATGAACAAATCAAGTAAGAGAGTCTTTTCTTGCAAGTATCACATTTCATCTTGTCATTCTGTGTTTTATTATAGTAGTGGTACTTCTAATACATGCCACTGTAAAGTGTCCAGTTTCTGCACAGTGACATACTTGAAGGAGGGAGATCCCTGTGTGGAAAAATTGCTCTGGCTACTATCATAGATATGTGAACTATGAGGAGGCCAGTGATAAATTTGAAGAGGGCCTAGATATTAACTAGTAAATATTAACTTGTTTGCAACAGGAGTATTGTATCTATTTCCAGATATCACACTTGAGGAAGGATGTAAAGGCTTTGGATAAAGTGCAGAAAAGATTCACAAGAATGTTTCTAGGTCTGAGGAACTTCAGTTATGAGGATAGATTGGAGAAGTTAGAACTATTTTCCTTGGATAAAAGAAGGCTGAGAGGAGACTTGGTATAGGCATTCAAAATCATGAGTACCTGGACAAAGTAGATAGGGCGAACCTGGTCCCACTCATGAAAGGATCAAGAACAAGAGGACACAGATTGAAAGTATTTGGTAAAAGAAGCAGAAGTGACATGAGGAAAAACTATTTCATGTAGCAAGTAGTTAAGGTCCGGAATGCATTGCCTGAGAGGATGCTGGAGGCATATTCAATTGAAACTTCAGCAACAGGTTAGACAGCTTTTTGAAAAGGGAGAATGTGCAGGGTTACAGGGAAACGGTGGCAAAATGGCATTAAGTAAGTTGCACATTTGGTGCAGGGAAACTGGGTGGTTTAGTCTCTTTCTACACTGTATCAATGCTGTTATTCTGTGACAGGGTGGTGGAATGGATGCATATGTAACAGATGAAATTTGAAGCAGAGAAGTATGAAGTAACACATTATTTTAGAAAGAATGAGGAGAGACAATAGATAATAAAGGGTATACAAGTGGCCGTGGAAGTAAACATGTACAAATTATTGAAGATGGCAGTAGTTTGAGGAAGTGGTTAACATGGCTTATAAAATTCTAGACTTTATAAGTCAAGACAAATAGTACAAAAACCAAGGAAAATACATTGCATTTTTATAAAATGCAGGCCCTTCCTCAACTGGAGTACCATGTGTTGTCTGTTGACTTAGGGAGGGTGTCTGAAATATTTTCGCGAATAATTCCAGGGATGAGAGACTTCAATTAGATTGGTGAGGTAGGGATTTTCTCCTTGGAGCAGAGAGGATAGAAGAGATTTGATAGAGATTGTGAGTAGTTTGAACAGAGTAGATGGGGAGAAATTGATCCTATTGGTAGAATAGTCAAGAACAAAAGCACATGGTTTTACGGTAATTGACCAAAGAACCAGGGCAACATCAGGAAAAACCTTCTTACATAATGATTGGTTATGATAGGATCTGGAAAGCACTGCCTGAAAATGGTGGAGGCAGATTTAATTATGGCCTTCCAGAAACAAATGGACAATTATCTGAAACAGAGCAAAAATCCAGACTGCACTGAAAGGAGGGGTAACTTTCATAACTTTCTGACTCAAAGTAAAATGCCACCTTCATTGGTTAAACTTTCATTAAGTCCATAGATTTTCATTAAACAATTGTATTGGAAAGTAATTGATTCTCAACCAGATCCACAGATTGCTGTAAAATGTTTTATTATAATGGTGGCCAATTTACTCCTGTGCTTGTGCACAATTATGCCAATTAAAACTATATTTTTTAGAGTTTGAACAGGAATAACACATAATCAAAAAATGCAAAGAAACTCACAATGACTGCCAGTAATTTATTATTCAAATAGCAACCTGAGAAATGTTGCTGTTTCTTCCTCCTGCACCTCACAAACAAGTTTTAGGAATAGAGCGAGGTCATTAGGTATGTGTTCGTTTTTGTTTGGTTGACTGACAAATGCATATTTGACCTCCTACTGAAATTTAAATTGTGTTGATGTGAATCTGTTTATATTTTACACAGTTCTTTAATGGAATATTATTTCTCTTATAGGACTGAAGAGCATTGAATTGACACCTCTTGCTGCTGTTAGTGTTCAGCTGTTTTCTGCTGAAGAAAATGTGAAGGTTTCAGGATCCATCCAAATTACATTACCTCTTGGACCAACAGACGTAGTGACACATGCAGATGCCCTTCCAGCCTGGACATTTGACCTGAAAATTGGTATGTGAGTGAATCTCAATATCTATAATTTTGATTAATGTAGAACAAACCTAATACTTGGTGGGATGTAGTTGTTTGTACACTAAAGTGCAACAATCAAGATGTGAAATTGAGAGATACTACCTGTCAGTGAAATGGCCTGTTTACGTGCTTTCACTCAATAGGAGAGTAGTAAATTGCAGTAGCACATTTCTTACTCAATTTCTGATGTGGACAGATGCTATTTGATTTTGATTTAAATGTACAGATGAAATGAGCTATTGAGCCTTTCAAGTAATTTTTCAACAGCAGCCCAAAATGCTAGCCAATGAGCCCTCCAACTCAGTTCAGTATCTGACTGCCTGTTGCATGGTTAAGACATTTTCGTCCCCCAATCTACCATGAGGACCATTGACGTAAGCTGCACCTCAAGGTCTGATGAACTTTTCTGGGCTTTCTCCCTCAAGTGAGAAGTGGGGTACTCATTTCCACATGCCTGAATACATGCAGAGCCCAACTGTAGACACTGTGGTATCAGAGCCGGTGGCTGCTGGTATCAGATCAAGTGATGGGGCCTCATCATCAGTTCTGTATTGCTGCTCTTTCTCCCCTGGGGCTTCTGTTAGTGCAGTTGGCAGTTCTAGGGTGCTGTAAAGCAGGAATTCAAAAGGAACTGTTCAGGATGGGAAGCAAGCAGCTAGATGGCATGTTGAGAGTGTATTGGTAGTGAAAAGATCCTGAATGCAGGAACGTACCACCAAACCCAATGTCTTCAGCGATACCATGGGGCCCATCACAAACGTCATCTTGATGCTGAGAGCCACCTGCCACACAGGCCTTCGGAGTTGAGACATTCTTGTGCTCAACCATTTCTAGTCCGCTCACTTTTGGTGTGAAGGAGTAAGGGCAGAATGTCAGTGATTGTTAGGATTGTGTTTGATGATGAATAGTACAGTTAGCAGGTGGGTGTGAGTGTAATGCCATTAGAATGTATATGACAGTGAGTTAGGCTGGCTGTACAGTCTGAATTTTAAATGCCAGGGACTTTTAGCTGGATGAGTGAAAGATAGGGTGTGCATTGAGCAGTCTGAGAAGATGATGGTGTAATGGGTAGGAGATGTCTGGTGCAGATGCACTGTCTGACCTTCAGCGCCCACGTGACATCTTTCAAATTCTTGTGGTACAGCTGTCAGGGCCCAAATCCTGGGAGTGAACCCACTGCTTAGCAGCTCCCATTCACCGTTGGAGAGTGGTCTTCAAAGGCCTCGATAGAACCATGCCATTAAACATTCTGCCAACGTCCAGCACCATGCATGCCCCAATGCCTCCAAAGTAGTATGGAACCCTGTCGCTGCCCTCGTGTTCATTTTGCTTAATTTACGTTTAAGCAGTTTTCTTCATTGCGGTTTACTTTTAAGAGAGGCAGCCTTTCTTTTTGAGGCATCATGCTGTTTGTGAATAATGTAGCTTGTTTCTCCTGCTGAGCTGTGAGGCAGCTGACAGCATTAAGATGAAGACAGCAATGCTGAATCCATTCAATTAAAAATGCTACAGTCATTCAGACGAAGTACACCAAATTTACATTTTTATCTCAATATCCTCATCCAAAAATCAGAGCAATCCTATTTCTATGCCATTGTCTTTCAAAGGCTGAGAAATCCAAACCTTTTAATAAACCATTCCTTTAACACAAAGAGTGGGACCAGGCTAGGAGGGCCTATAATATTTCCCATTATAAAGTCAGCTGCAGTGAAGATTGAGTTTGGCCTTCCTGTCCATAGGCCAATTGATACCCTTAAATTGGAACCACCCCCTCAAAAAAAACCATGGGCTTTTCCTGAGAAGCTACCTCTCTTATGTGCAGTCTGGGGCCTGCATTGTTGTTCTTTGTTCTGGGCCTACTTCAGCATCAGCAGTAGCTATTTTTTGGAGGCGGGATCCTAATCTTGATGGTACCACGAGCCTTGACTGCACACTGATTGAATTTGAACTGCATTCCAGAAAATATTGAGCTTGCCCTGACTTTCTGGCTGGAGAATGGGGCCAGTGCTGTGGCCATTATATTACTCCAAAATGCCAGCCTTGAGCTTATATTCACAGCAAGTCTGAAGTTTGATACTTCCGATTTAAGCACCAGATGGTGAATTGCATGGGAACAGTGAAAAAATGAAAAACGTTCCAGCCTTTAAATTTTGAGGAATGGTTGAAATAAGCTGAAGAACTGACACATAGGATGGAATTTAATAACTTCGCCTCTTGTGAGCTTGATGAGGAGAGAGTGGTATGTGGAGAACCCACCTCCATTCCACCTCTGTTTTATTATGTCTGGGTCAGAGAGACTCACAGATGGCTTTCTGTTTCTGTCACCAGTTAAAACCTTCTGGTGGCAGAAAGATTCACCATGTGGGAAACCCCAAAGCAACTCTGTCAGGAATTCTTGTGGACTTCCACAGATGTCTCTTGTTCAGAAGCACTCAGTGTCTGATCAAGGGACCCAACATTGGAGAGGGGAGAGGCTCATTGAAAGCCAACACTGTCCTTCCCCAAGGTAATTTCCCTAATCCCAACATCACTTTCCTGTGGCCTGGGTCACACATGGTCTTGACCTTGGATATGTCCATTATTGGCAACAACCACTGCCTTCACAGATTGGCCATGGCTCATAGTGGGGAGGACTCTTGCTTATGGTCCTTGGTCCCGAACAAGACCTTTTGCTGCTTAGTTAAATGCTGGTGCCACATAATGCTTTGTGTCCTCTTGAAAAGAATAGATGTGGGACTGTAACTGGCTCTCCAGCCAGCAGTCAAGTCTTCTTGTCATCTGCATTAGATTCCACTCATAGATTATTATGTTGAATGTGGTAAATGGCATGAAATTAGCTACGACCTAACTCTTATTTGCTGTATCAAAGATTCCCTATAGTATGGAAGAAGGCCATGCAGCCCGTTAAGTCCACACCGACCCTCCAAAGAGCATCCCACCCAGATCCACTGCCTTCTCCATCCCTGTAACCCTGCATTTCCCATGACTAATCCACCTAACCTACATATTCCTAGACACTATGGGCAATTTAGCATGGCAAATCCACTTAACCTGCACCCAGAGGAAACCCACGCAGACATGGGGAGAATGTGCAAACTCCACACTATAGTCACCTGAAGGTGGAATTGAACCCAGGACCCTGGCACTGTGAGGCTTCAGAGCTATCCGCTGAGCTCCTGTAGCCAAGTTTATCATTTGTTTAAAGTATACTTTAAGTACAAACTGATAAGATCCCCAATTCTAAATTGAAAACCAGAACTATAATTCCAAGTTTAGTATGTAACTGGCATTAGTTTGAATTGTTTCTTAAAAATATCTAATGTTGAATGATTCTTCCATTTTTTTATTGCATCAAACCACAGCAGTTGATGGATTCCACTTGTCACTGTGGTATTTCATAATCCCTTAGGCATTGGAGAGTCATCCTCATCTATCTTTACCAATTTTTTTTGTTAACAATCTGGAGCAAGTTGTCTATTCACCCACTCAGCTGACTTTTTACAAAAATTTTTGAATCTGGGATATAAGGGGAAAATACAGTTATTTTAATATAAAAAGCACGTTTTAGTATAAGTAACTGATTATAAAAGAACAGTCTTTAAATATAAGTAGAGTTGGCTATTTAGCCCCTTCAGACTGATCCACCATTCGCTGAGATCATGGCTGATATGTGCCCTAGCTCATTACGCTTCTTTACTCCATGTCTGTTCACATCTTTGGTCGTCAATAATCAATCATTTTGTGTTTTAAAATTAACAATTGATTCGGAATCAACTATCATTTGTGGAAGAATGTTCCAAACTTGAACCACCCTTTTGTGTGAAGATATGTTTCCTAATCTGTCTGCATATTTTTGACTGTAACCCCTTAATCTTGGGTCTTTCCAAGTAGTGAATATACTGTATCTGATTGACCTTCTCTATTACCTCATTTTTTAAAATCATTTAATCTATTTTTCTAATCAACCCGTTCAGCGATGTTAGTACACCCCTCTGGAGCAGAAGAGACTTGAATCTGGGCCTCCCAGTCCAGGGGTAGGGACATTACCGCTGCAATCAAATCACCTGTTAACTTGCTAAATTTCAGGGAAAGTCACTTTGGTCTCCTTGTGATTTAACCCTTGAGATCCAGGTTTCATTCTGGTAAAAACTGAAAGAACTGCGGATGCTGTAAATCAGCAAGGTTTCTGAGGAAGCATCACCAGATCTGAAACGTTAACTCTGATTTTTTCTTCACAGATGCTGCTAGACTTGCTGAGCTTTTCTAGCAACTTTGTCTTTGTTCATTCCGGTAAATCTACTTTGAACTCCGTTCAAGGCCATTGTATCCTCCTGAAGGTGTAATGCCCAGAACTCCTCACAGTACCCATACTGTACGTAATTTAAACTGGGCTTTTTAAACTGTCTTGTCTTATGGATTTAAAGCCCAGTACTCCATTAACATTTTTGATTATTTTCTGTACTGGCTCATGACATTTTGATGATGTGTCTGTTTGGGCCCTCAATCTCTTTGACTTCCACTGATTCTAGTTTTTATCAGGAGAGGCAATGGCCTAGTGGTATTATTGCTGGACTGTTAATCCAGAGACCTAGATAACATTCTGGGGATTTGGGTTCGAATCCCACCTCAGCAGATGGTGGAATTTGAATTCATTAAAATATCTGGAATTAAGAATCTAATGATGACCATGAATCCATTGTCAATTGTCGGAAAAAACCACCTGGTTCGCTAATGTCCTTTAGGGAAGGCAATCTACCATCCTTACCTGGTCTGGCCTATATGTGACTGCAGACCCACAGCAATGTGGTTAACTCTGAACTGCCCTCTGGACAATTAGGGATGGACAATAAATGCTGCCCAGGCAGTGACATCCTCATGCTATTAATGAATAAAAGAAAAATCATTTAGACAGTATCCTGTGCTCTGCTATTTAGGTCCAACGTGGATGATGATGCATTTTCCTACATTGAAATCCATTTGCCACAGTTTTCTCATTCACTTAATACGTTGATATCTCGCTGAAATTTTAAGTTTCTATCTGCACTGCTTACTATATAGCTTACTTGTATGTCAGCAGTAAATTTAGACAATTAACCATCATCTGTGTTGTGTAATGAGTACACCAGGTATCTCTGCAGCATGAACTGTAAACTTCTATAACTCTTCTGGTCTCCTTTCAGATATTCTAATTTAAAATAACCAGTAGCAACACTTTTGTTTTAAACAAGATCAAAGTTATTACACAACTAGTCCTGATTCCTAAAAGGTACAAAGTAAATAATGACACAATTATTCGATAAAGTAACAAATATTCAGTTTAAAAGTAGATGTGATGGAAACATACTTACAAAGTGGAAAATAAGATCAGTTGTTGTTGCAGGCCTGTTACTTGCTTGTAGATTTTTTTGTCTGAGGTGAAGGGTTTGAAAACGTGAAGTCAGAATTCAGCAGTTGCAATGTTTCTGTCGTTGATTAGTTGGAGGTTGTTTATACAGAATGGCTTAGCAGAACAAGTTCTGTGAGAAAGTGGACGCTCCTTTGATTTTGCTTCTTTGTCACTTTGGGTTGTAGTATTTGGTAACTTGGTTCAGTACAACAGTCCATAACTGCTTTACTTTCTTTTCCTCTCCCTGTTGAAATCATTATTTTTGTTGCTGAATTCATTCATTCAGCCCGAATTGCTGTTTGATCTGAGTGGTTTGCTAGGGCCATTTCAGAGGGCAATTAAGAGTCAACCACATTGCTGGTCTTCTAGCGTTATATGTAGGCCAGATCAGGTAACAATGATACAGATTTCCATCCTTAAACATTTTATTCACTAATGCCCTTTATTTTTAGGACAGTGGTGAAATGGTCGCCATTAAGCAAGATTTAATTCCAGATTTTCATTGAATTCAAATTTAAGTATCTGCTTTGGCAGGTTTTGAAGCCGGGTTCTGGATTACCTGGTTCAGGTTCACTGCCACCCCTTGCTCCCACTTTTCATGCTATTTTGTTTAAGGTCTTTTTTTGTTACAGCATGCTTCAGTATTAGGTGTTTGGTTATTCCAAGCCTGGAGCATCATCCCCTCCATTGTCAGTTAGTTGAGGTAATTAACTCATAAGTGTTCCATCCATCAGTTTGGTTTTCATTGTCAGGCTGTGGTAATCTAAGATAAGCTGTTAACATCTCCGGGAAACCATCGTCTATGATATTCAGTTTACCCTTGGAAGTGTACATCAACTTTCAAAGGTTTTCATTTATCTGGGGAGGTCTGTTTGTAATCCACTTGAAGCCTTCGAGGAGCTCAATGTAAAAGGTTAGGTGACTTTTGGCAGTCAAATTTTAAGGTTGCTTCTTATCATTTAAAGAGAGAGCCGTTTTTAAAATCTATAATATAATATAATATCTACCTTGTTCATAACAGTTGTTCATGAATAAAGATACACCTTAAATCTTGTAGGATAGCTTAGTTATATTCTGCCAAATTGGGTAGTTGCCCAATATCCACATCTCTAATCTGCCAATTTCCTAACTGGATTAATGCAATTATACATCTGCAAACATACAGGTTAGTAGCAAGAAGAGCCATTTAGCCCCTCAAGTCTGCTGCACTATTTAATAAGATCGTTGCTAATCTGATTGTAACCTCGATTCACATTGCCACCTATGCCCAATAGCCTTTCACCGTTTTGCTTTCCAAGAATCTGTCTGCCTCTAATTTTAAAATATTCAAAGTCTCTGCTTCCCTCTAATTTTGAGGAAGAGAGTTCCAAGCACACTTGATCTTCTCAAAGAAAAGTAAAATCTGTTCATCTCTGTCATAAGCGGATGAATCCTTATTTTTAAATGGTGACCACTAGTTCTGGATTCTCCCACAAGAGGAAGCATCCTCTCCACATTGATCCTGTCAAGCCCTTTCAGGATCTTAAATATTTCAGTAATTGCCTGTGACTTTTCAAACTCCAGTGGATACAAGCATAGTCTGTCCAACCTTTCTGCAAAAGGCAACTGCACTTTCCATGCCGGAGTCTCGTAAACTTTTGAATTGCATCCACTGCATTTGAGTCCTTCCTTAGATAAAGCAGACAAATACAGTATACAGCAACCCAGATGTGTTCAATTTGTCTTCAGTCCTATTAGCTTTAGCTTAGCTAACAGCTTCTTATGAGGGTCTTCATTGAATGTCTTCTAGAAGTCTAGATAAATCATATCAATGGCATATCTCTGTTCACTACTTTCAATATCTCTTCAAAAATTTAATCAGAATCATCACCTGTGTCTTACCCTTTACCAATCCATGCTTTGTCTCTTTGATCAGCTGAACATTTTCAAGGTGTTCCTTTATCTTGCCCACAAATATAGATTCTAGTAAGTTCCTAACGACAGATGTTTCACTAACTGACCCATAAGTTCTTGGTTTTATCCCTTTAAACTTTCTCAAGTAATGGAGTGATATGTACAGTGTTCCTATCCAGATGACAATTCTCAAATCAAGAGAACTTTGGCCGATTATAGTTGGGGCATCTAAATTCTTCTCACCTACTTTCATTAGTGATGTTTCTTTTGTTATAGTTAAAGTCAAACGATCTTGAGATAAATGCCTGGCTCACAGATATTCTTCTTTCATCCGAGGTGCCTGGGTAAACAGAGGACTTGGAAAAGTTCGAAAGGAAGGTGACCGACTTGTCTGGACATACATGGCCCCTCATTTGGGTCACTGGATAGCTGCACCCTTACCTTTAACCACAGGTAAACATGCATTCTACATTGCATTTTATACTGCTAGAAACTTGTTGCTGAAACTTTTTGTTTCAAGACGAATTTAAGAAAGCCAAATTTTAAGCACAGAAACTTGTTACTGGAGAAAAAAATACTGCTGACTAATTGGCCATGACATTACCTCGAGAAAGTTTCAGGAATGGAATCTCCCAAGCTGTTTTTAATTTCAAAAAAGGCCAGTTGACTTCAGTTGGTTGAGTCACTGATAGGAGAGTGTGACAGGGAACAGTTGGCCCCCCAAGCTTCTGTTTAACTGAAAAAAGCACAATAACTGGGCATGTTATTTCTGTTTGTAAAGGACTAGGCCCTATGTATGAATATAAACAGTTTGTAATAAGCATTAAGTGAGTCATGTTGCGAGCTTGAATAATAATTTTAAATTGGTTGTTAGTATAGTTCTGGGCACATTTGCTGATTGTTTAGTAAGTGATGTATAATCACAGAGTTGCGTCGAATGTTAGGCTCTGTTTTGAGTTTTTCAAGCATGGGTTAGATTAGTATGGTCAGTACTCTGCCTGTTGTGAATAGCCAACAGGACATGCCTTTTGTATGATCCACCAGTTATTTTGGGAGGTGGAAATATGACCTCCATAACTGTCATCATACTGACATAGAAACTCATATACTGGATTGCTAATTTTTATGGTTGGCAGGATGTTTTTTTGGCTTGATAGCAATATCCTGTTGGTGGAAAATAGCATTTGTGTTGCTACGGCACAGTAGTGGTTTGAAACCTCTAGCTCCATCTGTTGCTCAAATGTTTGAGACGCCTTACCCTTCCAGGGAAAATTGTAGTAGATTAGAACATGTTTAGGACCAACAGTTGCAACCTTAGACAGATTCATGATTTTGCATGATAACAATTAACAGTTATTTGATCAGGATAGCTATTATCCCACAGGGGATACCTTTGACACATTTTAATTTAGTATCAAGCCTGTATGGTGAAGAAAGAGCTTGGACCAAATTTACAAGCTTGCCGATAAGGTCAATTCTGTAGTTTATGGAGCTATAAGAATCCAAATCTATATATTGACCGGAGAAGGTAGGTTTGTGATAGACTACAGAGACGAACCCATTTGGGGTTTTCGCAGAAAGGAAAGAGAGTTTGTTTGATTGTTCCCTGAGCTCCTGGGTAATACAATACAATAAAATGTAAGATTTGAGCAACATTAGTTTTGTTTGCGGGAAATGGATCTCTGTGCATGAATTCATGTTGCTTCTCACAAGTGGCTTGACTGATTAACTTAAATTAGTTGTTCAAGTAACTATTATGATACTCAGGATTGTTCAGCAAGTGTCGACCATTATTTGAATTGTACCTAACAGCAGAGATCTTGGATTCTGCAACCAGGAGCTGATTGAGTACTCTCTGAATTCACTCTATTACAGGTTGCCTTTTTTAAAAATCATGCAGTAGCTTGAGATCCCTACAGTTCCCCATTGCTCTCTCCATGCCAACATCTTAGTCAGTTAGAGTCCATGTGCTGGTTATTCAGCTCCTGTCACATAAATTTTTGTTACTATTTGAAAATATTCATTCTTGCGGTAATACTGATGAGCGCAAGACAAAAGCTTTGGAAGCAATGGCTGTCTTTTCGGAAAATACCCAAGTTCTACACTAGCAAGCAATTGTACTTATTTCTTATCATTTTCCATTTTGTCGCTGGTGTGCAAGTTTTTTTTAGATTTATAAACTTGTAGGGATTGGGCAGAACTGTAGAGCAGATTGGATTCTGAAAATTCATAAATAGTGGACATTATTCTTGTATTTGTTTCAACAGTGAATACTTCAGCAATTTGACTACTTGAGACATCAGAGATAAACCTAACTTTGTCCTTTCCCAATGTCCTTGAAGACAATCTTCAAAAGATTAACCTCCAGATGAAGCCTTTTTGCGTATTAACTGATACTGAAATATTGACTACAGTTTGCAACAGCTTTTTTCTCAAGGTTGTTCTTGCATGCACAAAGATTTTAATCTGAGGCTGGGATCTTAACGTCCAGATCACTTACAGGCCCTGTCTCCACGTTGTATTTGTTTTATTGACACTGTACTATTTTAATATATAAAGACCCTAATTAGGCCAGAAGCAAACTTAGTGGTACCAGGAATTGCTTGAATTCAGAATCTAGAGCTGAAACCTTAAGCTCTGTGGCAGATGGTAGCCACGAGTGGGCTTACAGATTTAAACAGGAAGGAGAGCTGTGGCCCAGCAGCCTCACAGTGCATACAGCAGCCAAATGGTCAGTCACAAGGTACCTACCACGGCTGAGCAGAGCGGGCCTACTTTGTGCCACTGCTTGAGCACCTCAATCTGAATAAGATTTTTTTTTAAATCACTTCAGTTCATCATCAGCAGCATCATAAAAACACACCACAGAATTCACTTTTCACATTGCTGCTTTGAAAAATTCTTTCTGGTCCTTTCAAGCTATTAACAAGCTCTTTGATGAGCTGAATAGACAGTTAATTGGAGGTGAGCTGATTGCTAGCCCCTTTCCACCAGTGCCCTCACTTTGAAAATTGTGCTTCCTTCCGAGGGATTGGAAGATTGGCATGCCACCTGGGAGTTCTGTTTTCAAAGCCTGCCCACCTGCAACTGGCCTCACCCCACAAACATTTGAAAATCCTGCCATCTATATAAAATTTCTAATTGGTGAAGCAGCTGCTTAAATCTCAAACAAGATTATAGGGCAATAATTACACTCTTCTTAAAAGTCAACAAAACAGAAGACCAAATGCTATCTAATAAATGTACAGAAATAAACTTTCAGGTTCATTTCAACTACCTATCTTGAAAATAATCAAAGAAAGTCAGCCAACTATTTGTTTCTTTTTCATTCAGAATGAGAAATTGACTTTGGCAAATAACAGTAATAGACTTTATTGCTATTCTATATTTTTCTTCTCTGCTATCTGTCATCTTATTGGTATGTAATGTTTGCATTTTGAATAATTGTTATTCCAGTTTACTACTGTTCATTTGACTGAACCTATCAACCAGGATTTGTAGTGTCTCTCAATCATTTTAATTATTTTTCTCCTATCCATATAAAAGTCTTGAATCAAATTTAAAATATGTTAGCAAGCCCACATACTCATTGTCTGTCTCTACATTATTACAAATTTTCTTCCCTCCTTATTTTTGAGTCTGACCCTATTCCAGCTCCACAAACCGCACCCAGTTTCCAATCTGTCGGAGCTGGCAAGTAATCATCTTTCAGGTCTGTCATTTTCAGCATATAATCAGCAATAGCAGCTGCATATGTGTGATCCTGAGTGTGTCTTGCAATTTTATTCATCCTTTTTTTTTGCTGCCATTGCATGTCCCTACTGCACTACTTTCATACCACACAATGGAATTTAACAGACATCATCTGACACTGATTATGTAACATTAGCACCCATTCTGAACTATCAATACAACGTGGGTTACCCTGTCGTAGGTTTTGAGAGTTCTGCTTTAAAATCTTTATCAGTGGAGGCAATGCTGTTTATTGGAAGGGAACATCCCCTGTTGTGAGAAGCATATGGGAACCGTACTGTGAGAGAAAGAGAGAGAGAATGGCTAACACAAATAGAATTAGCAAGAAAGATGTACAATTATATCATGGGAAGGAAGGAGAGTAATTTCAGAAAATAATGATTGTGTTGTTTGTTAGTGCCCTCACAGGAAATTAATTGATGTATGACTAAGTTGCCCCCCCATTATTTCATTTATATTGCATCATTAAACCTAGGAATATATTCTGCTGTACTTCATAGTAATCAAACACTATTTTGTACCAGGGCACATAAAATGATGTTAGGACAGGTAATCTAAATTTAGAGCAATGTGGAGCTTTAGGACCCATGCTATCAAAGGTATGCATACAGACAGCGGAGCAATTAAAATCAGATGTGCTTGAAATACAGAAAAATTCTTTGGTTTCTATACTGTATTACTAATGACCTACTTTAATTATTCATACATAAAGAACTGCTGAAATTTTGAGCAATGAACAGCATTAGTCCTGAAAAGAGACTAGAGGCAAAAAAAAAATGCATCAATGGCAATTAACAGGAAATCTGATTGAGATACTGAAATTATAAAGGATTTTGAGATAAACTGGGATAGCTATCAACGCTGGTTGGTGAGTGAGTAAGTGACTAAAGGATAGCGACTGAAGATAGAAGAAAAGTGGAGAAGCTGAAGGTTCCTTTTACACTGAACTTTGTTAGGGTATTAGCTAGAATCTAGAGGAAACAGAAAGGTCGGGGATAAATATTACAAACAAAAATAAGTGTGAAGTGTTATTATGAAAGGGATTAGGTGGATAGTTATTTCACTTACCCAATATTGATATTATAGGCCAATTAGCTTCCTCCTCTGCAGTAAATTCTGTGACTATAATACTTAGTACTACGTTAGGTCAAGCCAATAAACTTCACTAACGTCCAAATTTACTTGCAGAAACTAGACAATCACATGATCTACTTACTCAAAAGTGTGGAATCATAAAATTAATTTCTAGTTTGCATTTGGTATGAGGTTAAGAAATGCAGAAAGTCTGTGCTGAGTACAACAGGCCTCATTAGTTCACATAGTCACTTGGTGCTGACTGTGATTTTGTTTTCAAATCAATCCATTCAGAGATGTTATTACATAACTCTTGAGCAGGTGGGACTTGAACCTGGGTCCCTTGGCTCAGAGATAGGGACAGTACCACTGCGCCCCAAAGAACCCTGACTAATTTTTTAATCATTTGTAGCATATTGCAAACATGTGATTAATATTAAAACTTGCTGCCTTATATTTAGGTACGATTGGTCGTATTGCAAAAGATATCACCACCTACCATACCTCGCTCCTCGTGGCTATATTAGGAGGAACTGCAGTGATTCTTGCAGGATTTGTGGCTGTGTTGTTTTGTTACTGCAGGTAAGACTGTTGGGTATCTTTGCATCTGGAGATTGCTATTTTATATCTTTGCATAGTTTACATAGTATATAATAAAATATAGCCAAATTATTAGTTATCATGTGATCATTGATTGAAGCACTGATCATAACTCAAATGCCATAGATCTTCTTGAATGGGAGATGATAGTAATGCAGTGGGAATAAATGAAAACGGTGTTCAGGCGACTGCATATCTTTGTCACAGTGTCTGAAGTCAGTGTTTTTACAATTATTCAGAACTCTGCAAAGGTCTTCCCTTTGTAACAACAAGTCTGAAAAAATATCTTTATTTAAAGCTTCAACCATACTGAGAATTTCTATCTAACAACCTGCATTGAAAACTCTGTTTGTATCTGATTTGCTGTGACAAGTTACATCACAGCAGGTGAGGCAATCCAAAATATTATATAACAATCAACAGCATTTGTAAATGAAACAACCCAAAATGTTATAAAGAAAAGTCAATTCATTGTATTTTAATGTTGTTAAACCCTTTCTGTCAATGCAGTATTCAGTATACCTGATATCAACCAAATCTCTGTTGCCCTTGTCTTAACTTGCTCCAAGTTCTGTTCATCGATCACTTTTGTGCTCACTGATCAATATTGATACCTTGGTCAAGCAATATTTTGATATTAAAATTCTTATCTTCATTTTCAGCCTGAATGTGGCCTCAACCCTCCTTATCTTAGTGACTTCCTTCAACCTTACAACTTTGAAACATATTTGCATTACTCTAATTCTGGCCTCTTGTGCAGCTCAATTTTAATTGCACCATCATTGCCATTACACGTTGAACATCCCAAGCACAAAGATTCTATTCGTACATCACTCCTCCTGTCGAATTCTTTTCCTCCTTTAAGAAACTCCTGAAAACCTATTTCTTTAACCAAGTTTTGTCCCTCTGATTTAAGATCTTATGTGGTTCAATATTCAAATATTATTTTTTCAGTCTTTCTCTCCAGTATTTTGGGATCTTGTATTATATCAGACTGCTGTATTAATATAAACTCTTATTGCTAAAGACAAACTTAATTTTTGGTTAAAGATCTATTTTGGCACCTGCCCGTTTCTATTTGGAAATGCTCGAACATTCACAACGTTTGTTTTAAATGAAATCTGTACACAAATAAAGAACCCTTTGCCTGCCACATCCATTGAACTGTTTGCTGTGGAACTGGTTAACAGTCAGACATTAAGTGACTTGTAGTTGCATGGGCAATAGGTTGAAAAATATTCAAGTTTTGGGCAGCAGTTTAGTAATGCTTATGTCATGGATAAAGGGAGATTGGGGCAAATTTAAATTATTGGTTTTCCTCCTTAAGCCCAAGATTGTTACATAAGATTTTCCCTTTTCAACCAACCCTTTACTGAAGTAGGCTGAGGCACAGTTCCCCAAACCCTGTGTGTTTCTTTTAGTTGCAATCTCGAAGACTAAATTAAAGGTAAGGTTTATTAACAAAAACACTCAGTACAGAGATTGCCTTCTCTGCTTCATTCACACAAAAACATCATTCTAGGTAGAATGAAAAAGGAAGGGGAGGGAGGAAGTTGGAAATTATGAATTTCTTTTTAAAAAAAATCAATGATGGGGGCATTTCTTTATGTGACTTAAAGAGTTCAATAGGCCAGTATCTAATTCAGTGTCTGTCAGTTGTCTCATCTTGTAGCAATTATTTTCCTGGGATGCAGGTGGATGCCATATGAAGATGCAGCAATATTTCTTGTGCCCTGAAAATTAGTCCAATTTGGTAAACAACTTACGAGAGTCTTCTGGAGATGTGACTTTTGGGAGAGAGAGATGGAAGGCAGTCCTTCTAGTTGTTAAGGCCAAAAGCCGCTTTTCTTGTGATGTCAAGATAGTGACTGGGTTAGAATTCCTGACTTGGGTAGTTAGCAAGTCAACAAGTTCAGATTTCAATCATGTGACAAAGACATGTATTTCAGGGACTGAAATTAGAAGTTTGTTATGCTAACAGTGTATCTTTACCTCTCCCATTAGAGTTTAGATTGTAAATTGAAGAGGAGTCTGTAAAGCTGATGTGCAGTGACACCCACACACAATTCCAGACCTGCTATCTCATCATGTAAAATTTTAATAACGTCATACACAAAGGCTGCAATGCCCACGTGTGTTATTGAAGGAAAGTCCAGCAAGGTGGAGGGTCTGTTTAAATGTACATGTGCGAATCTAAGTGGTATACAACGTGTTAACAAACACAGCCATAGGCATTAGCACCCATTTTAGCATGGTGGACCTTAAGGTTTTCCTTTGTTCAAAGCTAACTGAAAGCAGAAAGCTTATCTCACAAAGTGTTACGCTGCAAAAGGGGGCCATTCAGCCCACCGCACCCTCGCCGACTCTTCAAATGAGCATCATCACCTTGTGCTAATCTCCTCCTCTTTCCCCAGATCTAAATAATCATTTATTGCCCCTGATGAATGCATCAATTGAACTTGTTACACTACACTTCCAGGCAGTGTATTTCATACCAACTATTCACTGAGTGATAAGTTTTATCTCTTTTTCCCTATTTCTTTTGCACATCACTTTAAATCTATGCCCTGTTGTTCTGGTTCCTTTTACAAACAGGACCATTTTCTTCCTTTCTGCTCTATCCACCCTGCTTACGATTCTGAAAATCTCCTCTTGGCCTTCTTCTCTCCAAAGAGAACAGTCTCAGCTTCTTCGATCTATCCTCATAATTGAAGTTTCTCATTCTTGTAATTAGTCTGCACTCTGCATTCACATCTTTCTTATGATGTGGCACCCACAACTGTGCACAGTGCTCTGGGTGAGGTTCTAACAAGTGTTTTTTCACAAGTTCAAATTGCCTCCTCGCTCTTGCATTCTTTGCTCCTATCAATAAAGCTGAGGACTCTGTACGTTTTATGAACTGCTCTTTCCACTTACCCTACCACCTTCAATGATCTGTGCACACATACAGCCAGGTCCCTCTACTCTGGTATTCCTTTTAGAATTGTAGTCCCTATTTTATATTGTCTTTCAATCTTTTTCCTACTAAAGTATATCATCTCTCACTCCTCTGCATTGAACCTTATCTGCCATCTATCTGCCCACTCTTCCAATTTGTCAGTGTCTTTTTGGAATTCTACACTGTCTTCCTCACAGTTTACAATGTATGAGCGGAGTCAGGATCATAGAATCCCTACAGTGTGAAAACAGGCCCTTCGGCCCAACAAGTCCACACCGACACAAAGAGCATCCCACCCAGATCCGTCCCCCTAACCTGCATATCCCTGAAACACTACGGGCAATTTAGCATGGCCAATCCACCCTAACCTGCACATCTTTGGACTGTGGGAGGACACTGGAGCCCCGGAGGAAACCCACGCAGACACAGGGAAAACGTGCAAGCTCCACACAGACAGTCGCCCGAGAGTGGAATTGAACCCGGGTCCCTGGCGTTGTGAGGCAGCAGTGCTAACCACTGGAGTTCTGGACAAGGGTCATTTAGCAATCTTGACATTTTGTGAATCCAGCAACATCGACCATTTTTAAAGGAAGCAGAATTTAAATCAGAAAATTAAAAGAAAGTCCAGTTTTCTTCAGGATTTCTCTTCATGTCCTCTGCCCATGATGCTTATCAAAATCACAAACTTTGTGATTGAGTTGATACAGTATAAGGTGGGTGTGTGCTTCCTTGGGATTTTATTTGCAGGTTTTAATTCAGAATGTTGAAATTATGGATGAAAATCGGTGTTCTTTCAGACATCTAATGTTATTCCGAGGGTGGATTTATAATAATTTGTTGAACATAATGCACAGTGGAACAGGTTGTAATCTTACAGTTTATACAGTGCATGCGCCAAAAGTAAACAGAGGTCATAAAATTATTTAACAGATAACTGTTATTCCAATGCTGCCCTTGCTCCATGTCTAACTAAGTTGGAAAGACTGATATCTCAGAAGGAAAGGTGCTAAACTTGCAAATGACAAATTCTGATCTGACTCATTTTGAGTTCTTCAAAATGGCGCTCAACTATTTTCAATTCCAAGAATTTTGTTTTTAGCAGACCTGGAATTACCTGTTAAGCACAGAATTCATTAATAAAATCTTCACAACATTGATGATCAGGTTCAGGTGACCAGCCTTTGTTTCTATCCCCATCAAATATCAGGCCCAGAGTTAGAAATATAGAAAATAGCAGCAAGAATAGGCCATTCAGCCCACTGAGTTTACTTCATCATTCAGCGTGAACATGGCTGATCCAGTGCCATACGTCTGCTATTTCCCTATGTTCTGTGGTGCATTGAGTGTCTAGGAATCAATTTATTTTTGAAATATACTCCGGCTCGGCCCCTCTGCCTTACATTGTAGAGAATTCCATAGCATTAACTCCTAGTGAAGAAGTTTCTCCTCATCTCAATCCTAAATTGTCAACCCTGTATCCTAAGACAATGACCCTTGTTATATTCCTCCAGCCAGCGAACCATTCATCTTGCATCCAGTCTGTCTCCAGTCCTGTCAGAATTTTATATGTTTCAAACAATTCCCTTCTTAGTCTTCTCAACTCCAATGAATACAGGTCCAGTCGACCCAGCCTCTCTTCATAAGCCAAACCTGCCATCACAAGATGATCTTCCTGCACCTTCACTGAACTCCCTCTGTGGCAAAGTGCATATTTTCTTGGGTAAGGAGACCAAAATTGCACAGAATACTCCAGGTATGGTCTCACCAAGGTCTTCTTTGGCTGCATCAAGACATAAAAACAGAAACATTAAACTGGAAAATTTGGCACTATCTGTGGGTTCAGAGTTCTAAAGAAGACTCATACTGGACTTGAAATGTTAACTCTCTTTTTCTGCCTCTACAGATGCTGCCAGTTCTGTTTTTATTTCAGATTTCTACCATCGGCAGTATTTTGCTTTTATCTTTGCTCCTGTACTCAAATCCCTCTTGCATTGAAGGCTAGCTTTCATTTGCCTTCCTAACTACCTGCTGTACTTGGATGCTT